CTTTATGCATTCCACATTCTGATTATTAATGAATGTTTGGAGCTGTTTCTTCCCATTTTGAGTAGTGCCCAGTCAGCAAAGGAAGGTCCCAAAAGCGTTACTCCATCCACGTCACTAAGGGAGCCTCTACTTTGAGGAGGCAGCCCGCCCCAGTCGTGTTTTGAGTGTCTTCCAGCCTGAGGGGCTCATCTTCTGGCACTGCATCAGACAGTGTTGCACTGCTGTTCCTACGGTTTTCACTGACCACTCTTTGGAGAAAGTAGGTCTCCAGGTCCTTCTTCACTGACGGTGTCTGGAGGCTCCACTGAAGCCTGTCCACCATGGCTGACCCTGCTAGGGCTGACCCTGCTAGTGTCCGGATGCCAGTGGCATAGCTTCCAGCCTCACAACAACACGCAGGCCGCCACATTGTGACAAGCTGACAAACTAGCAGTGGCCCAACACACCGATCACTAATTGTCCAAGACCAGGTGAGTTGTGGGATGACACGAAGGACATCATAAATGAAGAAAGCAAAGGGTCATTAAAAAGACAGGAGAGAAAGAAACGACCAAAGAAGATGTCAGAAGAGATTCCGAAACCTGCTCTTGAATGACAGATAACTAAAGCAAAGGGAGGAAATAAAAGCACTGAACAGAAGATTTCAAAGGGCAGCTCAAGAAGGCAAAGTATTGAAATGTGCAGAGACCTGGAGTTAGAAAACCAAAAGGGAAAAGCACACTTGGCATTTCTCAAGCTGAAAGAACTGAAGAAAAAAATCAAGCCTCAAGCTGCAATCTTGGTACTGAGTATGGGCAGGATGTTGAATGATGCAGAACGTGTAAAGGGAAGATGGAAGGAATACAGAGTCATGGTACCAACAAGAACTGGTTGACGTTCAGCCATTTCAGGAGGTAGCATATGATCAAGAACCGATGCTATAGAAGGAACAAGTCCAAGCTACACTGAGGGCATTGGTCCAAAACAAGGCCCCAGGGATTGACAGAATACTGGTTGAGATGTCTCAACAAATGGATGGTCACCTGTGCACGCCAAGACATTTGGAAGATCATTCCTTGACCAGCTGAGTGGAAGAGATCCATATTTGTGCCCATTCCAAAGAAAGGTGATCCAGCAGAATGTAGAAATTATCGAACAGTATCATTAATATCAGGAGCTCTGGTAGTGTAGTGCCTAAGGCACTGGACTACTAACCAGAAGGTTGGAGGTTCAAACCCATCAGCCACTCCTCAGAAGGAAGATTGGGCAATCTAGTTCCATAGTGATACCACCTCAGAAACCCAAGGAAGGGTCGCTATGAGTCAGGGCCGACTCAACGGCACATAACAACAACAACAACATCATTAATATCACATGCAAGTAAAGTTGTGCTGAAGATAATTCAAAAATGATTGCAGCAGTACAATGATAGACTTGCCAGAAATTCAAACCAAATTCAGAAGAGGAAAAGGAATGAGAGAGATTATTGCTGATGTCAGATAGCTCTTGGCTGAAAGCAAAGAATACCAGAGAGATGTTTATCTGTGTTTTGCTGATTATGCAAAGGGATTCAACTGTGTGGATCATAGCAAATTATGGATAACATTGCAAAGACTGGCAATTCCAGAACACTTAATTGTGCTCATGTGAAATCTATACATAGACTGAGAGGCAGTTGTTCAAACAGAACAAGGAGCTACTGCATGTTTTAAAATCAGGAAGGGTTATGTGTCAGGGTTGTATCCTTTCACCATATGTATTCAGTCTGTGAACTGGACTGTATGAAGAAGAACGTGGCATCAGGATTGGAGGAAGACTCATTAACCACCTGCGATATGCAGATCACACAGCCTTGCCTGCTGAAAGCAAAGAGGACTTGGAGTACTTACTGATGACGATCAAAGCAGACAGCCTTCAGTATGGATGACACCTCAGAATAAAACAAAAATCTTCCCAACAGATAAATGGAGAAAAAATTGAAGTTGTCAAGGGTTTCATTTTCCTTGGATCCACAATCAACACCCATGGAAACAGCAGTTCAGAAGTCAAATGACTTATTGCATTGGGCAAATCTGCTGCAAAAGACCTCTTTAAAGTGTTGAAGAGCAAAGATGTCACTTTGGGGACTAAGGTGGCCTGACCCAAGCCAAACCTGGGCAATGAATAAGGAAGACCGAAGAAGAGTTGATGCTTTTGAATTACGGTGCTGGCAAAGGATGTTGACTATACTGTGGACTCCCAGAAGAATGAACAAGTCTGTCTTGAAAGAAGTGCAGCCAGAATGCTCCTTGGAAACAAGGATGGTGAGGTTTTCTCTCACGTCCTTTGGACATGTTATCAGGAGGGGGCAGTCCCTGGAGAAGGACGTCATCCTTGGTGAAGCAGGGGTCAGTGAAAAGAGGGGGAAGACCCTCAATGAGATGGATGGCCACAGCGACTGCCACAATGGGCTCCAACATGGCAACAATTGTGAGGACACTGAAGGACTG